AGGGAAGGAGGCTCCTGCTATGTTACTCTATAGATGTGTGCTGGAGCGGGAGGACGGCAGTGAGAGAGTGGAGGGTGGAACAGTGAAGAACACCAGGTACAAAAGTGGGTTTTAGTGGAAGACGGAGACAAAGGTAAAGAGGAAAACGCCAAAAAACGGCATTTCTGCGTATTGTTTACAAACAGAATCTCCATCTCCATGAACTGATGCCCTGAAGTCCGAGTGGTGAATCAGTGATCAGTGTTGTCACGTCATATATAATAATAATATGTGTCACTTCATCAGCAGTTACTGAAGTCCAGAGAGAAATTTAGAACACCAAACACTCAGGGTGGAATAGAACCCACAACCTTCTTAAAGATGGGCTGAAGTTCTACCACAGCACCACCTTCACCTCCTCACCAATATGTTAGGTAATAATAGTTATATATTAGTTAGTTGTTATTAATAATAATAAACATAGGTAACACAAGAACAAATTGTTTTCTTAAAGCTCAGTAGAAAAAAAAACCTCTTTGTCATGTGACTAATGGACGAATCACTGTAACCCTACAGTTGGCTAACAATAGCCCAGATCTCCCTCAATGTACAGCACTGTACACCGCAGTGATGTTGCTAAACAACTTTCAGATTTAACTCAAACCTAAACATGCTCTACCCAGCTGAGGATGGGATTAGAACCAGCAACCCTCTGCAAATATATATATATATATTTTTTAAATTAGGAAATAAGCCTTATCCAAGGAAGCTAAGCTAACCCTGCTAATACTGTAGCTTTCATTTCTAAGTCTGTGCCACGTCATTCGTATCACCAACATTCACTCAGACTATTTTCCAGCAAAAAAATAATTCCGACCCCAAACAAAAAAAAACATAGAAAAAAAGAGAAAACACTGACAGAGGGAAGTGTTCAAGCAGAGAAATGTAAAAAATACTTTCAGTTAATTATGGTTCAGTTATTCTTTAACTCATCCAAACCTGCTCCAGCTTTAAAGTAAAAACCTACAAAGAAGGAAAGAGGAGGAGAATAAGACGTGGCACCGGTACAGATGAAACGAAAAATGGGTCAGACCCCAGATCAACAAAGTAGGGAGGGTTAGATGGAGGAGGTGAGTGAGGGGAGCAGGGGAGAGGGATGGAAAAAAAAAAAAAAAAAAAAAAACCTGGACTGGGTCCAGAGATTAAGACACACTAGGTAGTACGAGGGAGAGACCCAGAGGTCCCTGGACTGACACCGTGTTTGGAGACGTGAAGTGGTGCTCACAGGTTTGGCTGTGATAAGGCAGAGCTGGACATGTCAGAGACGTGAGGAGTCCCCTCAAAACGTCTCCTGGCGTCTCCTGCTTTATCAAAGCCTGACAGCAGTTCCAGCGTCGGAGGTCCCTTCAAGTCAGCCCGTGTTTGTGTTAACGCTGACACAATCTCTGCTGGTATGTTTCCAGCTCCTACATAAAACACTCACTCACTCAAGTCGACTTTCACTCCCGTAAACATGGCTGCTGGAGTTCAATGGTTTTTCTATAAAGGCCTAAAGCTGTAATGTCTTCAAGGGCTTCAATCGATTGGAGATTTAAATCGTCCATAAGTCTATGGTCTATGAAAATCTCTCGAATGTTGATCAGTCCTCCTGGTCGACAGACTGGGTCGTGACCCTCAGGTGGGACGCAAGAGATTTTTTTTTTTTTGGGGTCGTCTCACATCGTGTTTCCCAGGAGTTTACGAATAATGTCTATTGACTCGGGTCACGAAAGTTTGTGACTTGTAAAATATCTGTCCCCAGAAAAAAAAAAAAGTTTGGGGGAAAAAGTTTGGGAAACTCCGCCATAAAGTGTAGACATCGCTGTAGATATTGAGTTTACTTCAGTAAATCACCATCGAAAACAGAACACACGTACAATTAGAAGAAGACGAAATCTAAAACGTTGACAAACCCTGAATGATTACACAACTCTCAGGAAACAAATCAATAATCCACAAATGAATCAGCTCGTTTTCACTCTACTGGAAAAAAAAAAAAAAAAAAAGAGCAAAGTTTCAGTGTCTCTCTGTGACTGATGCTCCGTTTTTAACCCAGTAATGAGCGACGGCCGCCTCTGTCTCAGAGAGAGTCGTAAGAAACAAGATTAAATCATACTCCACGGTGAACTGATCAATACATCTCCTTCTATGAGGATTAACAAGATCAATTAGGATTCTTTGTGATTTATTTTCTCCCCCCCCTCCCCCTCGCGCCCCACACGATCCAAACCTTTTCATCTGAGTCTCAGAGCTTCATTGGAAAAGAAGCCCCAGAGAACAGAGGTGATAGCTTCATCTCTCCTCCGGAGGAGCTGCAGCTAGTTTGATATTTAATTGATGAAGCAGAATTATTCCCCAAAAAGACTTGTTTTTTGTTTCATCATGGCAGCAGAGAGGGAGGATCATTGTCCCCCTTTTCATGTGTGAACCCCCTGTTTTGCTCTTTCTCTCCCCTCATTGTGCAAGAATGAGCAGTTGTACATTGCCACCGGGCAAGTACTGAGAGATCCACGAAGCAAGGAGCCGGTGAGTGGAGTGGAGTGGAGGGGAGGGGGGGGTGAGTGAGTGAGGAGCAGCAGGAGTGGGAGGA